TGTTTCTAGCCTTCTGCTGCGGTTTTGGAGCATATGGCCTGGGGCGCCGAGCTCGACGAGACCGCCCGGGCCTGGGACCCCCGCTCCGGCGAGTCTACGCCGCCTCGGGCCCTCTATGAGCCGACTCGGTTGTCAGTGGCGATGGGCATTCTACTAAGGCGTTGTCGACGAGCAGCATGGGGCCGGCTCGCAAGGCATGCATGTTCGAAGCTGCGGCGCAGTCGCTCGATATATATATATATATAAAAAAAAATACAGAGGTGGGGGGGGGGGGGGGCAGGGATGGGATGGAGATGAAGAGTGGTTGGTTGGCAGTTGTGGCAGTCGTAGCAGTGGGTGATAGTGGTAGGGGATGGCTGGGTGGAGTCGTGGCCGATGGACGGTTCGTTGGCTCCGACTGCTTCCGCTTCCGCTTGCTCTTCCCCGCCGCCTGCCTACACCGAAGAGAGAGGAATGCACTGTCGACGGCAATCGTTTGTTCGCTGGCAATTTGTTCGGTGTCCCGCTCAACGGACTGCCCCGGCACGGCAGGAGGGAAGCAGGCAGGCCATCAGCCGTACCGCAAGAGGCGCTGGAAGACGGGGGTGGAGGCGATGGAGAGCTTGCGCGAGAGATCCGAGACGACGTCGGTGGCGTCGGCAAGGGCCATGTCGGTTCCGGGGTCATCGTCGTCGGCGGTGTCGATGACCACCAGTCGCTTGCGGCGCTTGCGGCGAGCCTGTGCCCGCCGGATGCGGCGATTGAGCCGTTCTTGCGCTTGGCGGGCGATGATCTCCTCAGAGAACGAGGCCTCGGATGAGGTGTCGGACGCCTGCGACTCGGCGTCGCGCGACCGCGAGCCCGACCGAGCAGGCTGCGGGTCGGCGTCGGCGTCGGGATTCGGGTCAGGTGAGGCTGCGCCGAGGCCGCTCATAAAGGCAGCGGCCGCGGTGGAGGCGCCAGCCATGCGCGACGGCGACCAGGCATCGAGGGCGCGGACGGCCTGCACAGCCTCATCGCGCTGGCGGATGGCGACACGGTCCGTGAACGGCATCGAGCGCTGCGATGAGCGGGCGGCCGAGGCCTTGCGGGCGGCAAGGACGAGCCGGGCGGAGCGCGGGAGAGCACGGATCCGCTTGCGGTACGAGGCCAGCGGAGTGATGCCCTCGTGCTTCCAGAATCCCGGAGTGTGCTCCACACCCCGGCCCCATTCGGGCGGCGGGCCGTGCGACGACTCGGCTTGGGCGGTGCGGAAGCGGGCACGCAGCGCCCGCCCTCCGCGAGGACCCGCAGCAGCATCCGGAGCCCGCGGCGGAGCTTGCGGCGGATGACTCCGCAGGCCATACGAGGTCGAGACAGCCGATCGCGACGGCGGCGGAGCCGGAGCGCGCGACTCGGCCGGCACAATGGGGTTGGACGCCGACCGAGCCGGAAAGGCCCGCCGTCCGCGACGAAAGGTCGTGCCAGAGACCTTGTGCCCAGTGCCGGCGGCAAACTGCTTCTTCCCAAACGTTCCTACGTGGTGGTGGCTGTATGGGGGGGTGATGAGGTGAGGGGTGTGTTATGGGGGGGGGGAGAGGGGGAGGGGGAGGGGGAGGGGGAGGGGGGGGTGCGTACGTGGTCGACGTCTGCGGCTGAGGGAGTATGCGCAGGGAGGGGCGCCAGGTGGGTGGTGGGTCGTTGGATGTGGCCCACGGAGGGGAAGGACCGTGCATGTGTTGAGGGGGTGGGGTGGGATGGGTCTGGGGGTGGTGGGCTGGGGAGGTGGGGAGGGGAGGGGGGGAGGGAGGAGGAGGGACCGTTGGCTGCTTCGCTGGTCTGATCAACGGTGTGTGTTCGAATCTGTTGTGGTCGGCGCCGCTACGCATAGCCTGTGAGGGGGGGGGGTACCAAGGGGGGGGGGGGGGGTAACGGGATGAACAGGCAAAGACTACACGCTCGCTCAGACCTCGGTCTCTCGCACAAACACTCTCTTGTTCTTTCGAGCACGGCTACGTGTAGGTCGGGCGGAATGAGCGCAAGAGTCCGGGGAGGAGGGCGGCGAGGAGGCAGGGGCGGGCGGCGGCGGTCGGTAACGGCGGGGCGGGCGAGGCGGCAGAGCAGCAACTCGCTGAGCAGCGATGAGGAGGAGGGGAGGGGCAAAGTGCGCGAATCTGCGTTTGTGGCACAGCTGCGAGCGCGGGTCTGCTGGACGAGCCGTCGTTGGGCTCTGCAGGATCGCTGGTTGCCGGGACCGGGGTGCGCGGCGGCGAGGGCGAGGGCGAGGGTGTTGTCGACCCGCTCTTTGACGCCACGTACTCGCGGCTGGAGCTTGTGGCCAAAGAGCAGCGGCTGGAGCGGTTGGTGCTCGAGTCGAAGGGGCTGCTGCGGACGGGCCTGCTGCGGCGGGGGCTGGGCAAGGTCTCTGAGCTGTGCAACCCGCCATCGGCCATGCTCCGGGATCGCGACGCAGACTTTAGTTCGTGGTCGATGCGGTATGTGGTGCCGATCGCCGGCGATTCTGCGCCACCACCGCCGGTCTCGCGGGCTACGGCATACGGGCGCGACTGGACTGCGCCGCCGGAGCAGTGGGAGCGGCTGATGCACCGGCATCTGGCCAAGAGCCACGCGGCGCGGCATGCGGCCGAGCGGCAGCAGCGGTATACTGCGGTTCCGCAGCCACGATCGGAGCTGGTGCGCAGCGACAACACAGTTCCATCGTCGTTGCCTGCGCGTGCGTTAGCAGACCACGAGTTCCAACGGCGATATGTCAACGGGGCGTACAAGGCATGGCTGCTAGACAACGGGCATCCTATTCCCGATGACTTGCGCGATGTTGTGCCACACCAGCGCGGTACAACGTCGTCGTGAGAGCAGACCTGCCCAGGTAGTGGAAGCTTACCCGGACTGGGTGTTCGACTCGTACTCGTCCAACTCTTCAGCGTTGGAGGCCATGGTGTTGGAGGTTGCGACGCCCTCTGTGGTCTCACGGCGGCGGCGGCGGCGCTTGGTCGGCCGGACACGGGCCTGCTTTGGCGGTAGGGTGTCCGTGATGATCGGCAAGTTGGTGTCTTGCGACGCCGAGAGCTGGAACTTCCGCTTGGCTTGCTGCTGGGCAGCTGTCGGCGGCACAATTTCGCTTGGCGAGGCGAGGATCATGTCGTTGACGTCGCCCAGGGCCAGGCTTGGGTCGGAGAGATTGAGACCGAACGAGTTGCTTGTCGGGTCAAGGTACGAGTTGATGAGGTCGTTAAACTCGGTTGATATGCCCAGGTGCGAGAGGCTGTTCGAGTTGGTGCCCGAGACAGCGCCGGCAGGGGCAACCGCCTGCGGCGAGATGGTGGACGGCGGTGCTGCTAGCGACGGTGCCGGTGTCACTGACGTGGTTGGGACCGGGCCGCCAAAGTAGCTCGTCGTAGCGGCCATGAAAGAGCTCGGGCCGGACCGGGGCATGCCCGCGCCTACCATGTTCATCGGGGCGTAGAGTGAGTTTCCGAGCGCATCCATGCCAAACTGGCCCGCCACTCCGCTCGGAATGGCAATACTCGGTGCGGCGGAGGAGGCAGCCGTGCCGCCGTCCTCACCCCACACAATCGAGCCCGAGTTGCTCTGCAAACTGCTTGCCAGCCGCGGACCTGGAATGAGCGACTCGGATGATGTCAAGCTCTGCGGACCCGACGACATCGAGCGCCCGTTGCTACCGCTGTTGCGGGCAATCGACATGTCGGCCATAGCGGGCGTCAGCGATGACGTCAAGTCTGGTGGGAACAGACCGGCCGACTCGCGGGCCGACTCGGCGGCACGAAGCTGCTCAGCGGCGGCGTTGGCGGCTGCCTGCGCCTGTGCAGCCAGCCGCGCCTGGGCCTGGACCTGAGCCTGGGCCTGCATGGCGCGGGCGTGGGCCTGTTGCAGGTTCGCCTCGGCGAGTGCCCGCATGGCCATCTGCTGCTGCGCTTGAGCCTGTGCTTGCGACTGCGCCTGCGACTGTACCTGTGGCTGCGACACCTGCGACGGCGACAACTGCGCCTGCTGGGTACGGATGTCTGGCACAGCGTGCATGCCGACGATATTGGACGACCCACGCATGAGCGGAGAGGCCGACTGAGCGGTACCACCGGAAGCGACCATGCCGGCGGCCTGAAGCTCGGAGATGAGCAGAGCCTGCTCCTCAAGGCGGCGGATGGCGAGCGAGACGATGTTCTTCACCTTTTCCTTGGGATCACACCCCAGCAGTTGGCCGAGGTAGGTGAACAGCTCCTTCATCTCCCTCCGCAGATTCTGCGACCGAACTCGTTGCTTCTCGTTCATCTCTGCCTTGTTCAGCTTTGTCCGCGACTTGCTTCTGTAGGGACGACCAGCATGGGCGTGAGTCGCAGCCGCAAGGGAGGCTGGGAAGGGGGGTGGGGGTGACCAGGTTGTGGCTAAAAAGTTCGCCTTTGGTGACGACGGGGGCACGGGAAGGCGGTGGGGGGAGAACGGGAGGGGGAGGGGACGGGGGGTGATAGGAAGGGAGGCGGGGGGAAGGGGAGGGGAGGGGAGGGGAGGGGAGGGGAGGCCGGGGAGGGTGACGGGGAGCGGCCGGGTGGTGGAGGAAGAGGTGAAGCGAGGAAGGGGCGCAGGGGGGAGGGGGGAGTGATAGGAAGGGAGGCGGGGGGAAGGAGAGGGGGCTGAGGGGCGCGCGTACTCCTTCTCGGCCTTCTTGCCGCTCTTGGTAGACGACATGGTCGACACCAGAGGTTTGGGTAAGAGCGAGCGGCTGCGCGCGTGTCGGCGGGAGAGGTGAGGGTGAGAGAGAGTGGGAGAGGGCGGGGGTGTGGCTGTGTCTGGCCAAGGTGGCTTGCGGGGGCAGCCGTCGTTGAGAGGGTCGCGAAAGAGGCTGTTAAAAAACCGGCGCATTGCGGCGTAGTGGGAGCTTGAGTCAATGACAATCCATGTGGCGCGCTTAATCTTAGCTGCCGGAGGCCAAGTCCCTAGCATTGGCGACATGGTCTCGCTTCCTCGACGGGCTGGATGCATGCTGGACGCAATCGGCGCGGGCTAATGACAAGCACAGCAAATTGGCACTGCGCAGGCTGTTTGTGGCAGGCGACGCTGTGTTGCCAATCGAGGCAGGCTGAATGAGGTCAATTTTTGGGGGACGGTTGTGACGAGCGCATCGACGGGGATTTGTCCGTTGGCCGTTGGCTGGCGCGCGCCGGCGAGCAAGCGACGAGAGCAGCAACGGTGGCCGAGGGGGGGGGGGGGAGGGACAAAGGCACACCTGACGCAGAGAAGATGGACCGGTCTGGGCTACGGGCAACGCTACGGGTGGGCGGCGGGAGCGGGAATGGAGCTGACGCGACGTCGCTGGCCATGCTCTCGTCGGCAAACCTAGGCAGTCTGGTGGAGCAGAAGGAGCGCGAGCTGAGCGAGATCAATGCCTACCGCATCGCCACGCTAGAGGAGGTTCTCGCCGGCAAGACGGAGGAGCTGGAGGCGACGGCGGGCGCGCTGGACAAGCTCAAGGACGATTTTGCCTACAACCTCAAGCTGCTGGAGGACCGTGACGCCGAGCTGGCCCGCTACGACAAGGCCTTTCTTAAGCTCCGCGCAGTCATTGCCGACCGCGACGCCGCACTGGCCGAGGCCAAGGCGGCAGCCGATGCGGCGGCCGGCGAGCTGGCGAGCGCCAAGGCTGCTGCTGCTGCTGAGGCTAACGAGGCAGCGGCGGTGGCGGCGGAGCTGCGGCTCGCGCTCGAGGCTGCCAAGTGGGAGGGCGCCAACGCGCTGCGCGAGGCTCAAGCCGAGGCCCACGCCACCGAGCGCGAGGCTGCAAGCCAGCGGGCGGCGCTGGACGACGCACTGCGGGCAGCCCGGGCAGAGCTGGCTGAGGCTCGCACGGCTGCAGCGACGGCGGCCGATAAGGCTGCTGCCGGTGCGAGCGCCGAGTTGGCGGCGGTCCGGGACGAGGCGGCCGACAAGGTGGCCCGGGCCGAGGCGGCGGCGGCCGATAAGGTCGCTGCTGCAGAGGCTGCTGCTGCCGGACGAGTGGAAGCTGCCGAAGGCGAGGCTGCGGCGTTGCGCGAGGCACGCGACGAGGCGCGGGCAACGGCTGATGCGGCGACTGCGGCAGCGGCGGTGGCGCGCGACGAGGCAGCAGACGCCCGGGCTGCGCTTGAGGCGCACAAGCTTGAGGCGCAGGCTGCATTCGACGCCCTGCACGAAGCCAAGGCGGTGGCCGACGAGGTCCTCGCCAATGTTCGCGCAGAGCTGACACATGCGCAGGAGGCCAGTGCGGCGGCTGCCGAGGCGGCTGCAGCCGAGCTGGCGGCCGAGCGGGAGGCACGGATTGCCGAGCGCGATGCGTTTACCACCCGAGCCGCCGAAGAGCTGGCGACGGTCCGAGCCGAGGCTGCCGAGCGGCTGCAGAGTGCTGAGGCCTCGCTCCGTGGCGAGCTCGCCAGCGTCCGCGAGGCTGCGGCCGAGGCCGGGATGGAGGCTGCGGCGACGGTGGCTGAGAAGGACGAGGCCATCCGAGCGCTGCAAAATGCGGCGCAAGTGGCGGCGTGGGAGGCGGCCGACAAGCTGAAGGATGCCAAGTTTGAGCTCGAGAGCCAGCGGCAGGAGGCGCGGGCGGCGGAGGCGGCGGCAGCAGCGGCGCTAGAGCGAGCGCAGGCGCAGCTCTCTGCACGTGAGACCGAGCTCAAGGAGCTTCGTGGTGCGCTGGCGGCGGCTGAAACCGCGGCCGGTGATCGTCGCCGCGAAGTCCAGGCACTTGAAAAGGAGATCGAGGCTGGCAAGGCGCGCGAAGCCGAGCTGGTGGCAGCGGCGGCGGCGGCCGAGGACGAAGCCCGCGATCGGACGGAGAAGCTTGCGGCGCAGCTGCAGTTCCGGCATGAGAAGATTGTGCGGACGCTGCAGCTGCAGCGTGATGACGCGCTCTCGCGGGCAGACACTGCCGAGGATGAGCGCGACGCCGCGGTGCTCGACGCGCAGAAGATCCGCGCCGACGGCGAGCGTGCCGCCGACGCGCTGCGGCTGCAGCTTGACTCGGTTGCAGCCGAGCGCGAGATCCTGCAGGGCGAGGTGACTCGGGCCAAGGCGCGGGTGAGCGCTGCCGCCGAGCGCGCGGCTGCGTCTCCGGCTCTGTCGGCGACCAAGCCTGGAACTGCTGCGGTCGATGCTGAGGAGCTGGCCGAGGCCCATGCCGAGGCGCGGGCGGCCAAGGCGCGAATTGCCGAGCTGGAGAGTCAGAACGCAAAGATCCGCGAGGTGGTGCGTACGATGCGCGCCGACATGGAGGAGCTTTCGGCGTCGGCGGCGGCGTCAGCGGCGGCAGGCGAGTCATCGACCGTCCGCGAGCTCCGCGCCTCGCTTGCGGCACTCGAGGCTAAGAATGCGGCACTGGAGGCGGCAGCAGCTGCTGGTGCTGGCGCGGCGGCCGCTGCTGAGGGCGCCCAGGTCTCGCTCCTTCGCTCGCAGCTCGCAGATCTCAACGGAGTCATCGAGAAGCAGCGGACCGAGATGTACGAGCTCCTCGCTGAGTCGCGGAGTCAGGTGGCACGGGCGCATGAGCTCGAGAATGCGCTGGCGGCGTCGCGGCAGGAGGCTGACTCGCTGGCGTCAGCGCATGCGGTGGCACAGGCACAGCTTGCCGACCGCGAGGCACAGGTGTACGAGCTTGCGCGTCGGGTCGAGGCTGCCGAGGCGCGGGCGCGGGCAACCGATGTCATGGCGCCGCTGGCTGCTGCCGGTGAGGCTGCCGTTGCCGACGCTGCGTCGTCGGGCATTGTCGCAGAGCTGCAGGCACAGGTTGCGGCGCTGCGGGCACGGATGGACGGTACCGCGACCGCACCGGGCGCCGGCGGCGTCAACATGGCAGTCTTTGAGCTCAAGGCCCAGCTCGACGAGGCCCATGCCGACATCAAGCGGCTGATGGGTGAGCGCGAGAAGCTGCTTGATCTCTCGAACCTGCTCAAGTCGGACCTTCAGCGGGCATATGCTGCGCCTGCGCCGCAGGCCCCGGCCCCAGCCCCGGCTCCGGCTCCTGCTCCGGCTCCGGCCCCATCGTCTGACCCGTCGTCGCGGCTGGCGGCTATTGAGCGCGAAATGGCCCAGCTCTCGGCCCAGAACGCAGCGCTCAAGTCGGAGCTCGCGTCGCGGTCGTGGGCGGCACACGACTCCTTCGATGACGACGATGAGCTCCCTCGCAGTCGCGGAGGTCGGCACCGCGGAGCCGAGACCGGGCCGGCCGCGCCGGCCGCGCCGGCCTCCCCGGTTCTCTCGGCCAAAATGGCGGGTGTCCGCTCGCAGCTCGGCCTCGCGGTGACGGGCGAGGCCGAGGCGCTTAGGGATCGGTCACGCGAGCGCGAGCGCGAGCGTATCCGTGAGCGCGGTACCGCTTCGTCGCGCAAGCGCAAGCTCCGCTCGCTCCGCAAGAAGCGCGAGGCTCTTATTCAGCGGCGCAAGTCTGTCCGCAACTACAATGTTCGTGCTTAAAATGGCAGAAGCAGCCAACCGGTAGCTGACCCGGCCGCAGGCCGGCCGGCCTGGCCAGGTCACCTGCCGCGGTATGCACCACGTGGTGCGTGTGTGTGTTTGTGTAGAGTGAGACTCGGGGTGTAGGCTGCATGCGATGGACCACACACACTGCCCATCCAATGGCGGTGCCGAGAGCCTGAGAACGCTCTCGTGCGGCCCGGCCGTCCGTGGCGCGCAACAAGGCAGACGAATGGTTTTCGGCATCTGTAGCACGCAGATCACAGCACATTGTCTCCGAACTAGGTGTGCATGTAGTGGCTACAGCAGAATTGTCAGAGACAGACCGGCAAAGGCCGTCGAATGCGCATCGGTGCTTCAAGCACCGCCGGAAGTTCCGGCGCGCATACGTACTGTGCGGACAAATCAGTGATTTCAGGTCCCGACATGTACGACTCAGTTCCAACTATAAAAACATATAAATCTAATACTATAAAAGAATAAATATATTAAAGACACAACGCAATTTCAATATTTTGTATGTAAAATTGATTTGAGTTATGTAAAAGTATTATTTTCGGCCATTTGAGGGTGATATTTGTAGTTTTTTTTACTCAAGCCTTTATCCACGTGAGATCTCGGACATCGCGTTTGGTTCTCTCCCTGGTCAGTAGAACGCCCAGTCATGCTCGGCATCTTCACCACATGTGATGTGAAAGGCTACACGCGCAAGCCAGTAGCAGCATTCGCTAGCGCGTTGGCTCTCGTATTCCGCTCAATATCGGTCCAAACATATCGTACGTATTCACTCGTAACATAACTGTTCCTCCTCCTCAAAATCTAATACTATAAAAAAAATAAATATATTAAAAACACGACGCAATCTCAATATTTTGTATGTAAAATTGATTTGAGTTATGTAAAAGTATTATTTTCGGCCATTTGAGGGTGATATTTGTAGTTTTTTTTACTCAAGCCTTTATCCACGTGAGATCTCGGACATCGCGTTTGGTTCTCTCCCTGGTCAGTAGAACGCCCAGTCATGCTCGGCATCTTCACCACATGTGAAAGGCTACACGCGCAAGCCAGTAGCAGCATTCGCTAGCGCGTTGGCTCTCGTATTCCGCTCAATATCGGTCCAAACATATCGTACGTATTCACTCGTAACATAACTGTTCCTCCTCCTCACACGGGCAGACATCACAAAATTGGCCTTTATGCTCATGTCAGCCGCCGATCACACTCGGGCAGAGCCTCAGAAGATCGGCGCGTGGTTAAGGAGGTCACAGACGACCGAGGTGTAGCACTTGCCACCGCAGTACGACGGGACGTCAAAGAGCGAGTCGTCGAGCGGGGCAGTGGACCAAGTGGTGGGATCAAAGTCTTGCACATCGTCGGGAACCTGGTTGAGGCGGACCGGGATGGAGCCATCGACGGTTTCGTAGTAGAGGTTCGCCTGCAGACCCTTGGCGTTCCACTCGTATGTGTTGTAGCCTCCGTACGTGGTCTCGCCCTCAAACGTGGCGTTGGCCATCCAATCAGGGCTCACCACGCCGCAGCCCTGCGCCTGGGTGCAGCACTGGCAGCAGTACTTGCGCTCGGGAAAGTCGAGGTACCGCACCTGCTGGCCCGACGCCGACGGCACCACCAGGTGGTTGCACGGCGTGTTCCGCGCAATCTCCACCGAGCCGCAGTACCGGTCGTACTTGCCATTCACCCGCGTCACCAGCGACCGCCCGTGCGCCGCATCGTAGTACATGACGCCTGTCGTCTGGCCCGAGATGATATGCGGAATCGACGCCGTCTCGTTGAAAGCAATGGTAAAGGTGCCCGGCCACACAGGCGGACTCTGCCCAGTCGCGCTCCCCGCACATGCCACCGCCACCGCCACCACCACCGCTACCACCCACGCCGCCACTCTACCAGGCCTGCCGCCTGCGCTCTTGTTGCCTGCACCCGTCGTTGCCATCATGTCACCGCCCAGCCTGTTTCTGGCCGCCACGCGTGAGTCGAGTCTGCCTCGACCTCGACCTCGCCCCCCCCCCCCCCCCCTCCCCCCCCGCACCTGCCGCCGCCGACGCGCGGCCGCACAGGCAACCCCCGCACCATGCCATGCTGTTTACGCGGCTCCTTTGCCAGCATCGCCTGTCACGCCCGCACGCACAGCCCGCACGCACAGCCCGCAGCGCAGCACAGTCTGCGCGGCAAGCGCCACGGATGGACTTGTCCATCCCACAAGCGTAAGCTGCCGTCGACTGGTGACAACACGCGCCGCCAGCCCTGGGCCAGCCAGCCAGACCGCGTCTGGGGCGCTAAGCGACAACGGGATGAGCGGTGGCGGGAGCGCGGATAGCCCGCAGGCTGCAAGAGCCTCGATCACGCCGTCGCCAACTATGCAAAGCTCGAGCGTGGCCGTCTTGGGATGGAAAAAGAGCGCTTGGGCTGCCGCGAGCGATGGCTGCGACGTCGTCGCCGCCGCAAGCGCGTTGCGCTCGAGAGTCAGCACCGCCCGCGGGAGTGAGGCTTCGGTGTACATCACCCATGGCGCACCCGTGTACAGCACCGCCTCGTCAATGTCCAGCCAGACCACTACCAGGGCGCTTTCAGGAGACGCCCGCGTCACCGTTGTCATCGGCTGGCTCGCCTGGGCGCCCGAGACCATCATCAGCCCGGGGCCCAGTGGCTCGGGGTGGTAGATCACAAGCGCCACGCCCGAGCCGGCCACAGCCTCAACACTGTGCAGCTTGACCAGACTCGCGGCTGGAGCTGCAGCTGACTTGGCGGGCGTGGTGAGCCGGCCATTGTTTGGCGGCGTGCCGACGAGCGGGACAAGGCCACCGAGCAGCTCGTCCGCCGCCGCCCGCGACGGCTCCCGCTGTGCCAGCTGATCCGCCACGAGCCGAGCCATGGCAGTCTCAGCTATCAGCGCGGCATCCTCGCTGGCTAGCATACACGCGTTCGTCTGCGCTCGCCCTGCCAGCGCAGCGGCCAGCGGCGCCATCAGCGGCGTCGCCGGTCCGCCAGTCGCAACTGGCGCTTCCGGGACCGCTGCCGCCTCTGCAACCGCTTCTGGCTTCACAAGCACCACCTGCTCCAGCGCAGCATCAACAAATAGCAGCTGGTGCGGAGCGGTAAAGCCGCCAGCAAGCGGGATGCCGCCGGCGCGGCCGCGATCACCGTGGACCGGCACCGCCGACACTGCCCACGGTGCGCAGGCCCGGCCACGGGCTGGCGGTGAGACAACCACAACCATCCGCACACCACCCACTACCGCCCCGACTACATACCGACCACCGGTCACCGGTATCGCTGCCGCCAGCCGCACCTCGCCCTCGCCGACCGGACACGCTGCTACCGGCACTGCCCCGCGCATCACAAGCACCTCGCCACTAGCAACAGCCAGCCGGACGCCGTCTCCGAGTGCAACATCGCTCCGCCGCCCAACTCGAGCTCGTCTACTCCCCCTGCCACCGCTGGCATGTGTCCGGGCCACCGTCCACCGCCCGCGGCGCCGTGCGATGATCGCCTCGCCCAGCTCGCCGTCGGCGGCCTCGGTCGTCACTCGCGCCGCCGGTACGCCTGGCACACCCGCCACGCCCACCACCCGCAGGCCCGGCAGCCGCAGTGCAGCTACATGCCCCAGCTGCGGATGGGCAACCAGTTCCACGCCTCCGCCCAGTTCCGCCCCAGCCGCCGCTGCAGCCTCGTCCCGTAGCACGACGTACACGTCGGCGGCCAGCCCGTCGCCGTCGGCAGCCACCCGGACCACCGCCCCGCCCGCCAGCACCGCCAGCACCGGCTCGCCGTCGCCACCACTGCCCACCGCTGCCATGTTCGAGTCCTTGTCCGGTCAGGTGGCTGTGGGTGTCGCAAGTGCGGGGGCTGTGGCTCGGGTGGCTGCCCTGCCTCCCTCTCCCTCGCGCCGACTGCCGTTCCCGGAAAGGTCGTGGTTTGCCCCTTTTGCTGGTGTGCCCCGGCTGGCCACACGACAAGAAGCCATGAGCCGGCAAGCCAGAAGTGTTAAGCCAGCAGGCCAGCAGGCCCCAGTTGCACAAAGAGCATTGGACGATTACACGTAGGTTGGTGGTGGCGGTGGTGGTGGTGGTGGGGGTGGGGGGGGGTCAGTGGCACTCTACTGACTGCGCTGCTACCTCCGCGACCATGATCTTTCTCTGCCGCAAGTTGTTGACCGCCGCGGCCGCGCCCCGCACACACTCACGACCACAGCTCTGGATACCCAACTCGGCGAACACGCCTTTAGCACAGAACCATGAAACAGGCGCTTTTAGCCTGTCTTGTGGCCTTTGCGCTCGCAGGTGTTGCTCATGCAAGTACGTAGGACGTGGGCTTGCTGGAGAACCAACATGCTGTTGTTTTGCGTTGCAACATTTTTTGTCCATTTCACGCACACACCGCGCGCTCGGCCTTTGCAGCCCTCCCTTCCACTCCACGCAATGCACTCACTTTAGGCTTGGACACAGACGTGAGAACCGTAACATGGGGCGGCTTTGAATGGAAGTCGGACAAGGACAACAAGCCAGATGCCCGCGACGCGTACGCCGAATGCGCCGCCCTTGGGAGCGAGTTCTTTCTGCCTTGGACGCCGTCGTCCGTCCTCGACAGCTTCATGGGACACGGGGGTTATGATGTTGATGACAACTTCATCCGCGTGAGGCAGGAGAAAAACAAAAAGTACGCGTACGGGCTCATCCGCAACTTTTACGCCGACTGGGCGTCCAATCCAGACCCGGTCATCTACCAGTATCAGTATCGCGGCATCGACGGTCTGCAGTACAAGTTTGTGAACTGGCACAGCGGGTCTCCAAGCCCCGGCTCCGTCACCAGTGTCCAGTACACCGGGATGCGGGGGTCTGATGATTGGGACATGGCATCGCCGACCAATTCTGACAATCGCATGTACTGCATGCGGTTTGATCCCGACCATGAGATGCTCGAGTACATCTCGGCCAGTCCTCGTTCGCCAGTGACGTTTTACACCAACCCAGCCGACCACGAAGTTCCAGTCCTGGTCCGATCGACCATCATCACGCCCTCGTTCACCGCACTTATCGGGTTTACCACCACCGACTGTTCCGCGGTGCAGGGTGTCCAGCCGCTGCGCTCGTCGTACTTTTGGATGGAGAACCCTCTGCCCGCGTCGCTCATCGGCAACAAGGTCGGTATTTGCATCTCGAACGATCTGGGTGAGAACTGGAGGCTGCAGTCCGACGTCCAGGTCGAGCTTGTACTCGGCCGACCGTACCCAACCACCTTTACCGATCTCACCCCGTCGCTTGTTGCCCACGGCTCGTCGGCCGAGGGCACGCTCGCGCTCACGACCACCAGCCTGCCCTACGCCTCTGCGCCAAACGCAGAGCTTCTGGTCGTCGACTCCAGTGCCGTCAACGCTGATCCTGCCGCCGACTGTGCGCTGCGCGGCGTGTCCAACGTGTTCTACCCGGCCACCAAGGCGTGCGCCTGGCTCGTTGAGACCACTCCTCGCTCTCATCAGCAAGCTTCGCGCACTTGCGCCGAGCAGGGCGGCTTCCTCGCTGATCAGGGTACACCTGAGGAGTGGGCCGCCATCTTTTCCTGGTACTTTAGCCAGCCAAATCCGACCAGCTATCCCACCCAAGGCGACGTGTACTGGACCAGCATGCGCATGTTGGTCAACCCGCGCGCCCTTGTCGGCAATTTGGACGGCTTCCAGCCCGAAACGCAGCACATCTCCAAGGTGACGCGGACAACCAACGCCCAGCGTGGTTTCTTTGACAGCTTTCAGGATGACGAGCCGAGCTCACAAGAAGACATCGTCATCGGTCGGACGAAAGTCGAACGACGGCTTGCTTCGCGGCCACAACTCACTTGCAGATAGCTACATGTACGCGTGCATGCGCCGAGCTCAAGTCTGTCTGCGAAGCTGCATCTGGGAGAGTTCTCACCGCCCCCATCGCGGCGGCATCGGCCACCTTTGATCGTCCGACTCTCGAGGCTGCCACCAACATCTACGGCAAGACAACAAGCTACGAGGTCTGCGCCCGATCGAGCCGCGCCAGTTGGGTCCACCAGCCGATGCTCTCCCTCACCCACGTCCTCGTCACTCCGACCTCGATCACCGCCATGACGCCCAGGACCGTCGGTGCCGGCGTGACCTTTACCGCCACCTTTGCCGTCGCCCCGGGCCACCGCATCCACTCGCAGACTTCGCAGTTTGCCTTTTCCACTGACTGCTCAACGGTTCGCCGCAGTACGAGGCTGCGTACGACTCGGAGAGCGGCCGCTACACCGGCGTCTCTATTCCGACCTTTGGTACCTACAAGCTCTGCGTTCGATCGTCGACCAGTTCTCTGCGGGTCGAGATGACCGGCATCCAGCTGGTTGTTGCTCCCAGCGGTGTCAACGCTATCGCCTCGGTCACACCGTCGTCTATCGCCGCCGGTGCTCCGGCCCGGTTTGTCTTTTCCGGTGCCCAGGTGACCGACACCGGCACCCGTCTTGCGCTCGTCGCCAGCGGAGCACCGTCATGTGTCGTGGATAACCATGTTGCACCGGCTGTGCCGTACTCTGCGACTGGGTCTGTCCTCGTGGCGCCATCACTTGCGGCGGGCGCGTATCACGTGTGCTACTCGGTCGATGGCGGCGTGTCGTTTGCGCGCCAGACGGGCCCGGTCATCACTGTGGTCGACGTCACTTCATCCACCATCTCGTCATTCTCGCCGCAAAGCGCGTACGCCGACGATGCTGGTGTATTTCTTGAGCTCAACGGCCTGTCGAGCGTGCTCTCTGGACAGGTCGGGCTCTCGACAGTGGCTAACTGCTCAAACCCGCCTTCTACTGCCACCATCTCCAACGCGGTGGTGGTCAACGGGCGCGGGATGGCGTCGATATCGCTCAACAGCGGCGTGCCTGCGGGTCAGTACTACCTCTGTCTTGCATCGGCGGCCAAGCCGGGGACGTGGGTGGGACAGGCTAGCGGCGCAGCGTTCGTGGTCTTCTCGCCGCCCAGTGCGATCTCTGTGACGCTGGACTCGCCGCCAGCGGTGCTCGGCAACTCGTTGAGCTCGTATGTGGTGAGCTTCACGGCCGACGATGAACTGCCGGGCGCTAAGGTGGCCATCTCACCCTACGCCTCGTGCCAGGACCGCAAGGTCGAGGTGCCGCTTGCCTATGGCTCGATCGACCTTGCGCTCAGCGTCGACTACGGCGAGCCGGCGGCGCAGCTCTCCAAGAACTACCACGTCTGCTACACAGCCGAGGGCACGCGTTGGGGCTCGACGGGGCAAACGATCCAGTACGCGATCGACTCGCCGAATGCGATGACCGATCTGGTACCGTCGACGGTGCTGAACGGGACGCAGCCGCTCATGACCTTTGGGTCGCTGCAGCAGACGTCGGTGCCGTCACAGGTCCAAGTGGCGCTCCTGCATCCAGACGCCAATCAGGACTGTGGGCAGACGGGCTTCCACATCGGGACGGTTGATGTGCAGGCCAAGAACCAGGAGCTTCTGGTGAGCGAGGCGCTCGCCGAGCCTGGTGTTTTCGATGTCTGCCTCACAGTCAACGGCGGAGCGACATGGACGCGGCAGCTTCGATCGCAAGTGTCTGTGGTGAACGAGCCGCTAGCGCTGTCGATCGAGTCTGCCACGCCGCAGATTGTGGCGTCTGGTGTGCCCGGCCTCGCGTTCGACATTGTGACCGATGCCCGTGACGGGACGACACAGCTTGCGATGGCCAAGTCTGGAGCGTGCGTTTCGGGGCGGTTTGGCGAAGTGGCGTACACCACCGGTTCGCCGTCGCCGCCACCGTTCACGGCGCCGACGGGGCTGGACAAGGGCAGGTACCAGTTCTGCTTCTACAAGCCTATTCTTCTCGCCGAATGGGTGGCGCAGATCGCAGTCAGTGCGGAGGTCACGGTTGTGTCGTCGACGGAGACGCTGATTCTGTCGTCGCTGGAGCCTGCGTTCCTTGGCTCGGGCATGACGAGTGACCTCGTGCCGTCGGGGACGTCGAACCTCATCGGGGCGTCGTCGACCAAGGTGGCGGTCATTCCGGTTGCCAACTCGTGCGGCTCGGTGCCGGTCGCGAGCGAGCGTGAGTTTGGATACGGCAACACGACGATCCGTGGGTATGTCGGCGATCCGACACCGGGCATGTACAAGGTGTGCACGCAGATGGATGTCACGACGGCGTGGGTGGAGAATCCTGCGGCAACGTTTACGGTTGTCGGGCCGAGTGCAGACCGGTTTGTGACGCCGGTGCCAAACGTGATGGGTGCCAAGACGCGGCCGACGATCACGCTGACGGGCAACGGAGCTTACCACGCCAAGGGCGCGTCGGTGGGGCTCTCGACCTCGGCAAGCTGCGCGAGCGTGGATGCGTCGGTGGATCTTAGCACCGACCTTGGGGCAACCGTGGCTATCACGGTGGACCGCGACTACGCGTCGGGCCCGCTGTATGTGTGCTACTCAACAGACGGCAAGGCAAGCTACACGGCGCAGAGCGCAACGATCGATGTGGTGACGATTGACACAAACACGCTGACGTCGGTGGACCGGCGATACCACCCTGCAGACAAGAGCGGGCTGACGATGACGTTTAGCACGTTTACGCCTGTGACGACGGGCGCAATCGCGTTTGCGGCGGCAGGCAAAAGCTGCCTTATTCTGGGCGACCGCGAGGCTGTGACGGACATGACGGCGACAGGACCGGTGACGCTGTCTGCGCCGCTGGCATTGGGAGCGTACTCGACGTGCTACACGGTCAATCGTGGGGCGCCGTCCGAGGAGTGGACGCAGCAGTCGTCGGTGACGCTCACGGTGCAAGCTGGAAGCAGCACGACAGTGACAGGCCTGGTGCCGGCGGAGGTGCCGTCCGGAGTGGACGACTTTGTGCTAACGGTATCGTCGTCGATTGTGCTGATGAGCGGCGTCGAGCTCGGGTTTACGCTCACTGCCGGCGACTGCTCGTCCCCGCAGGTTGTGACGCTCATCAACAACGGGTCGCAGACCGAGTACGTGCTTGGCGGCGGGAGCGGCGGATTCACGAGCGCAGGCGTGTACTACGCGTGCGTGCGAGTCGACTCGGACGTGCCGACGTGGCTGGCGCAGACGGGGGTGTCTGTGCAGGCGATTGCTGCGACGGCGACGACGGTAACGAGCCTGTCGCCGCTTGTGGTACCTGTCGGCGTGAACCCGGTGTTTGCGATGACCGGCTCCAACATCAAGCCGTCTGCTGCGACGCGGGTGTTTTTCTCGTCGTCGGCGTCGTGCACGCCCGAGCTGGGTGTGATTCCGATTGTGAGCGGGACCGAGACGCAGTGGACGTCGACGATCAGCACACCGGGCAACTACACGGTGTGCTATGGGGTGCACGCGACGCAGGTTGTGGCGCAGACAAGCGTGGGCAAGCTGGTGGTGCGCGGTGCGACTGACGCGATTGATCACGTCGACCCGCGTGTTGTGGGCGTGGGCTCGAAGCCGACGTTTGCGCTGTCGGGAGTGTACTTTGAGTCGTCGTCGTTGATGTCGCTGGTGCCTGTGGACGTCGGATGTGGAGCCGGGGCCGGGACGTACGTGGACGTGCCGTGGACTGGACCAACGAGTGCCGTGGCGAGCGCGATGCCTGCAGCAGGCGACTATGTGGCGTGCTACTCGTGGGACGGCAGCCGTGGCGGGCTTGTTCAGCAGGATGGACCGCTTGTGCGTGTGGTGGACGTGACTGCGAACGATGTGGTCGATGTGAACCCGAAGCTGTTTGGCACGACCAAGCCGCCGCCGCTGACAATCAGCCTCAACGCTGGGGTGGAGATCTCTGCGACGACGTGGTTCGCACTTGTTGCGCAGGGTGTGGCATGCGATTCCGAGAACGTGGACGGCGCTGTCTCGCTCGGATCTGGGGCGACGACGTTCAACCTGGGGTCATTCAACTCGCCATCGGGGCCGTACGAGCTGTGCTTGTCTGTGGATGGTGGGCTGAGCTACGTCAAGCAGGGCGGGCTCAACGTGACAGCGCTCTCTGCGCAGCCGACAACGATTACGTCGCTGAGCGCCGACGGTAGCGTTCCGGGAGTGACGGTGCTCGAGGCCGGAGTGCAGACAGAGATTGTTCTCGCTGGTGCGACGGCGTCGGTCAACACCAAGATCGGGTTTGACCGCGTGTCGGGCGGGTGCCAGGTGCCGAGCAACGTGCTGTACGCGCGCGACTACAATGAGGCTGGGCCTGGCGGACTCGCGTATTTTAACGTGACGTTTGCTAACGCTGGCGAGTACGTGGTGTGTCTGTCTGTGGACAGTGGCGACAACTACGTGATGCAGAGCCTTGCCGAGACGCGTGTGCAGGTGATTGTGTGTGCCGCGCAGACATCGTGCGGCGCGTGTGCGTCGATCTGCTCGTGGTGCCTCGAGGAGTCAAGCTGTGTGTCGCGTGTGGGGATCGGCGGCGGGGCGTGTGCCAACACGACGACGGTGATTCCCGGGCTGAGCGGCGAGAACCGGGCGTGTCCGACGGGCACGCCGTCTGCGTCGTCGGGCTCGATGCAGGGCGGGACCGAGGTTGTGTTTTCGGGCGGCCCGTCCTGCCTGGCACGACGTGTCAGTGGGACCGTGGTGCCGGGCAGGACATTGTGGAGCTTGCGGCACGTGTGGCTAGCGACCGATCGTCAGCTACGTGCGTGTCGCCGACGTCGCTGGTGGCGACAACTGGAACGCTCACGCTGCGGTATATCGACGAGGACTATCTTGCACCTGTGCCGTTCGAGTACTACTCGTGCCTGCTCCGGGACACGTGCTCCGAGTGCTGGGAGGCAGCGCGGCCAGAGTGCGGGTGGTGCGTGGACTCGCAGCAGTGCACGATTGCGTCGTCGTGCGTGAACCCGAACGCGACGGCGCCGTCCGAGACGCCGCTGTTTGGCGGGCAGAGCTGCCCGTCTGTGGACGCGATTGCGCCGCTCAACGGGCTTACATCGGGTGGTGAGACGGTGACGGTGACCGGCGTGCTGTTCACCAACTACTCGCGGCTGCTGTGTGCGTTTGACGGAGTGCCGGTCAACGAGACGGTGTATGTGTCCGAGAGCGAGCTGCAGTGTTCGACGCCGCAGCGCGGTGCCGGTGGCGCGCAGTTTACGGTGGTGGCGCCGTGGGGCCGGTTTGACGAGACGACGCTGTTCTTTGTGTTTGAGCAGCCTGCGGCGGTGCCCAAGCCGCCGGAGCCACCGCTGGGCACGAGCTCGATTGTCGGCATTGCGGTTGCGGGAGCTGTTTGCTGCCTACTGATTGTGCTCCTCGGGATCCTTGTGCACAAGCGGAAACGCGAGGAGGAGCTGTACGGGCCGCCGGAGCTGACGGACGATCTGCGGCATTCTGTGGTGTTTGGCTCGTTTGGATCGAAGAAGCCGCTCGACTTTGACGCGATCGTCGCCAAGTCGGGCCCGCTGCTGGAGATGCTGCTGCTGCCGGGCTACGAGGTGCTTCACGCCGTGGTGGACGTGACGCAGGCGACGGAGGCGGACAAGGTGGCCAAGGCTGTGCTCATTCTCACCGAGGCGCACAAGCTGTCTGTGGACCTGCAAAAGGACTTTATCACGCGGGAGGTGTTTGGAGCGCAGTCGCAGGCGACGATGTTCCGGACCAACTCGTTTGCGACCAAGATGTTCAAGACGTACTCGAAGATGCAGGGCCTGGACTACGTGCACGCGACGATTGGGCGGCCGCTGAACAAGATCATCCACGATCTGGAGCTCGAGGAGCAGAAGAAGGCCAAGGGCGAGGCGCAGGACGAGACGAACAAGTTTGGGCTGCTTAAAAAGTGCCAGCGGATGTTCAACACATATTGTGTTGTATGAGCGGTACCTGCCTGTGGCGTTCCGCGAGCTGTTTGCTCATGTGCAGGCGTGCATGTCTGAGCGGTACAACAAATGTCGACGGAGAACCTCGCGGCGATTGTGGCGGAGAACCTGCACGGCAATCTGAAGGAGACCAAGTCTGCGTACGTCAACGGGTCCGAGGTCTTCCACGAGATCGAGAACCTGGAGCCGCTGCTGACGTCCGATCTGGCGTCGATCGGAGTGGCGATCAACCCGATGCGGGAGGGGCTCGACATGTTCAACGACGCAATCCTGGAGCTGACGGACAAGCTCGACCAGATGGTGGACGCGTGCGACAACCTGCAGGGAGCGCTGGACCCGACGTCGCAGGCTGCGCGGCGGCTGCTTGAGGAGCACACGCAGCAGCAGAACGCGATTGCGGTTGGCGGGTTCTTCTTCCTCCGTTTCATGGTGCCGTGCATCACGGCGCCCGAGTCGTACGGGCTGGTGAAGGAGCTGCCGACGCCTACGGAGCGGAAGCTGCTTGTGCTGATCGGCAAGGTGCTGCAGAACCTGTCGAACAAGAAGGAGTTTGGCAACAAGGAGAAGAAAATGCTTCAGTTCAACGACTTTATCGTGTCGAACGAACGCGTGATGGCGGAGCTGTTCGACAAGCTCTCGACGGTGCCGGAGCGCGTGGAGGGCGTGGCGGTGACGTTCTCGGAGGTTCCGGAAAGCTATCGCGACGCGGCGATCTGCACGCTGTACGAGCACATTAGGACCATGCTGCCAAAGGTTGTGGCGCGGCTGACGGACGCAGAGCTGTGCGACGACGAGCCGACGCGAGTGATGCGGGAGCAGATGGCGCGAATGCTCGCGATGTTCTACGGGCGTGCGGATCTCGCTGGCGATGAGAAGCAGGCAACCGTGCAGCGGACAGCGCACCTCAACTCGGAGGACGACTCGTCGTCGTCGAGCTCGTCGGACTCGTTTGCGATGCCGGCGGGTGCGATTGTGGAGAAGGAGCTGTAATGCGACAGACGCTAACCGTGGGCTGTTTCACTGCGATTGAAGTGAGCAATTTTGTTGGCGGCTTGCAGTGGCGTGTGCGGCGAGAGGGGGGGACAGACACGATGTTCCGTGAGCGAAATTGGTCAATGCCGAGAAGGTGGGCAGGTGGGGCAGGTGCAGGAAGGAGGGGCGACGATGGAACGATTTCTCCGGGTAGAGGGGGGGGGTAGGAGCGTTTGGATAGGTGCGGGCCGATGGATGAGTACGGGCCGGTCTTTGGGCGCGCATCGGCCAAGTCGGGCTGTGTGGGGTGCGGTGAATAAGGTGCGGCAAGGTTGCGCGTCTCCACGCACTTGTCGCACAAAATTGTTCGCTGCTTTGGAGCAGCGGATTGTTCCTGAAAGCCACGGCGGCGGTGCGATGTCGAGCGGGGCTAGCGGGGAGGATGCAGCAGCGGTAGGGCTCGGCGAACTTGCGCCTGAGCTCCTTCATGCCATTGCCTTTGGCAGCCAGATCCTTGCGCCGAGGGACATTGTGGCGCTGGCGCGTAGCTGTCGGTACGTGCGGGACGCTTTGCTCGGCGCCGAATATTCGGTCGACTGCGCCAAAGCGCGGTTCGGCGCCGGTTGGTGCCTACAGCACAGCGAGTGGCGGGCGGCGCGGCTGGCGCTGGGGCGGATTCCGCGGCTGGTTGATGCGGTGGCGGCGCTTGTGGACGTGGTGCAAGCCGAGTTGGAGAGCGGCGATGGCGGGTTTCCGGCATGGTTGCGGCTGATGCGCGGGGTGCTCGCGGTGCCCGGTGTGGTCCATCCGAGCCACCATCCGCATCGGTCAAGCGCCGGCGATCGGCTGCCGCTGACACTGGCGTGTGCGGCGGGCAACGTGGCTGCAGTGGAGGAGCTGCTTGAGCACGATGTGGTGGATCCGGCAGCATGCGACAACGCGGCTCTGATGTCTGCGGCGACGGCGCCGCGTCACGCCGGCGTGATCGTGGCGGTGCTTGTGGCGGACGGGCGGGTGGATGCGGCGGCGCGGCTGAACTATGCGGTACGGCACGCGGCGCGGGTGGGCAACGCAGACGCGGTGCGGCATCTGCTCGGAGAGCGCGGCGTCGATCCTGCGGCGGACGGCAACTATGCGCTTCAGATGGCGGCGGAGAGCGGGCACACCGAGGTTGTAGCGGTGCTTGTGGCGGACGGTCGGGTGGATGTGCATGTCGGTGGCGACTTTCCGGCGCGAGTGGCGGCCGAGTGCGGTCACGTTAGCACGCTCGAGGTCTTGCTTGCGGCCGGGGCGGATCCGACCGGACGCAACAACGCAGCGCTGCGGCTGGCAGCGGCACACGGGCACACGCGGGTGGTCAAGACACTGCTGGCAGACCCGCGAGTTGATCCGAGCACAGTCGACAACTACGCGATCAAATGGGCGGCGGCGAACGGGCACACCGATGTTGTGGCGCTGCTGCTGAGCCATGCTGCAGTCAATCCTGCGGCAGACGACAACTTTGCCATTCGGCTGGCGGCCGAGAACGGGCGGATCGAGACGCTCAAAGAGCTGCTCGCCGATCCGCGGGTCGATCCGAGCTCGGACGGATCAAGCGCCATGCTCTGGGCCATTGATAACGGACACCAGGATGTTGTGGACGTGCTCCTTGCCGACGGGCGGACGTCGCTCCCGTTCAACATCAACGTCTCGCTGGCAGTCGCTACCCGCGTACGATCGCCGCTGCACTCGCCGACTTTTGCAGCCTCGACCGAGGTTGTCTTTCTCTCGTGACGCACGGGAGGCATGTGCCACCCCCCCCCCCCTCCCCCCCCCCCCTACCAAAGCAAGCAGTGATTGATGGATCAGACGGCGTCAAAGGCTGGGTGGTACGAGGCGGCAAAGGAGCCTGCCGGCGATGCACCTCGGACCAGACCGGCGGCGGCGAGGGCATCGGCATCAAGAGGGAGAATGAAAAAGTGCTCGTCGAGCTCTACCGAAGAGAAGCGGAGGCCCCAGTCTGGAGCGGTGTCGTAGCCGAGCTTGTCGTGGTAGTACGCTCTGGCGCCGAGGACGACGATGGCCGGCACGCCCGCTGCGTCTGGAGCATCTTTCCACGCGAACGCCAGTCGCTGGCCCACCCCACATCCGCGGGCCGACTCTGCCACGGCGATCGGGCCGAGGCCCCATGCGACGGCGACAACAGAGCCATCTGCGGCAGTGATGGTGACCGGCGAAAAGAGGACGGTTCCGATGACAGTGTCAGTCGCACTTGTTGCCACCGCGGCGTAGCACTGCAGGCTGTAGTTGGTCCCGGTGCGCTGATCGTTGTTGTCATCGTCGTCGCTGACGGCATCGGCAAGGACGGCCGCCATAAGGTCGGCCTCGGCGGGTGTGTCGAAGGCGTCGGTGAGGAGCGCGTGGATAGCCAGGGCATCGGTCTCAGGGTTGTATGCCCGGATGGTGACCGAAGCAGACGACGGAGCAGCTGCACGCCGCATGGTGTTGGGGGAGAGTCAGGTGGTGGCTGTGTGTGGTGGTGGCGAGAGGGGTGGCCATGACTTGGACATGGTGGCCGTCGCAGTCGGTTGTGGGCAGTGCCAGTAGTGGCTGCCGCATGTGGTTGCCGCCACCATCATCCCCATGGCTGTTGCCACCATCATCCCCATGGCTGTTGCCACCATCATCCCCATGGCTGTTG